GGTGTTGAAGAACTGGAAATCGTACCCGCCGCCAGCCTTGGTGCGCCAGCCCTTCTTCTGCGACCGGGCTGATACACAACACACCACACCCACACGTTATCACGGGCGGCATCCAGAGCACATCTGTCTCTCTCTCTCTCTGTGTGTGTGTGTGTGTGTCTTTGCTATGTCTGCCTACGCTTTCTGGGCCCTTTGTCCTTCTGTCGGTGGCTCTTGGTGAGGGATGGGAATCGCTCAACGCGCTTGCGGTCGCCCAGGTCGATGAACTGTAACCAAGACAGCAGAGCACATGTCGGTGTGTGTGGCGTTGGGCGGGGCTCACGGAAGGACGCACAGAATGACTGACCATGGGCCCCTTCTTGACGATGGGCTCTTGCGATGCGCCGCTGGCTGCGGGCGCGGCGCCCTCGTCCCACGGGGCGACGTCGAACATGTGGAGCCCGCCGTCAAGGGACAAGTTGCCCAGATTCAACTTGGAGCTCAAGCTATGTCACACAGACGGATGGTGGCTGGATGGATGGATGGATACTGATGTGTGTGTGTGGGTACCTGGACAGTTTGCCTTCGATCTCGGCTGTGCGCTGGTCGGCGGTGGCGAGGATGGCGTCGATGTCCTCGTCTGAGATGGACGAGCTGTCCTGGGTCCGAAACACCTGGAACACACACACACACACACACACACATGCCGCCCGCACTTGCGCCGCCCAGGTAGCCAGCAGACATACCTACCTCCTGTGCGCCGAACTGGATCATCTGTGTGAGCTCGTCTTTCGAAGGGCCCATGAAATGGTTGGCGAAACGACCTGCAAACCGTCCATTCCATGCCATGGACACCACACGCAAGCAGAGCAAACACAAGGTGGTGGTGTCGGTGTCGGTGTCTGTGGTGGTGTTGTGTAAGCTCAGCTGCTGGATGGACCGACCTACCCTTTTGAATGATGAGTGAGTCGATCTTGAGTTTCTTGGCGGCCCGCTCGACGATCTTCTCCTCGACAGTCTTCTCAGTCACGAAACGATAGACGTGCACCTGTCAGTCAGTCCACGCACAACAAACACCACACCACAACACAACACAACACACAAATGCATGGAGACAGACAGACAGCACAGCGTCAATCCATCATGCCATGCAGCGCCCCTCCCTCCCTGCCTGCCTGCCCACCGTCTTTTTCTGTCCGATTCGGTGAGCCCTGTCCATGGCCTGCAGGTCCATCTGGGGGTTGAAGTCGCTGTCAAACAATATCACCACATCGGCCGTCGCCAAGTTGATGCCCAAACCACCGGCACGCGTCGACAGCAAAAAGATAAATACGCTCGAATCTGAAGGCATGGATGGATGGATGGCTAAGTGGATGTTGGCACGATGGATGCACCCCCCCC